TTTCAGTTGGGGACAAATTAGTCAGATTTTGTAAATTGCTGAGCCCTAATAGGATCCCAGGAGGTGCCAGAGATACACAGGAGTCCACATTTGAAGTTCTCTTAAAACACTAAGAGAACATAATTAACATAAGAAAATCCCTCTCTCTCTCCAGTGTTTTCTTAAGCTACTCTAAAGACACTCCAGGAAAAGCAGGGATACTCACCACTCCTCCCACACCATCCACCAGCTTCCCCCAGCCATGCAGGAGGAAGAGATGGGGTTTGTTTCAAATGGGAAAATCCAGCAGAGGGTTATTTTTAAATACTTTTGTGGCCAAAACAGAGTGGACTACTGAAAGGAGGCAGAGAAATAAGCAGAAACAGAACTAAAGAATTAAGAAAGCAACACCCGATTTCTCCTCATTCCCTCTGCACCAGGAGGAGCCAAAGTAAACTGACGGTCAGCAATAAGAGTCACAGCAACTTCCTTGAGTTAATTTGTCTTCAAAAAGATCCAAAGCTGACTACAGGCTGTTGAAAGCCTGCAAGAAAATGTCTTTCCTTCTGCTATTTTGTTTCCTGTCACAACTTCATGCTCACCTTGGCACCATTTGTCACCTGGTTTCAACTGCACACCCACCACTGCTGCTCCCTTTCTAGGCACTACAATAACACCAATAACAAAAGAAACCACTCAAAATCCACAACTACCCCACTGCTGCTGAACAGCTCCCTCCTCCATCTGCACCACTGCAGAGAAACCTTAAAATATCTATTCTAGAAGAGCTGGCACAGGAACACAGCAAAACATGACATGCTGGAGCTCGGTGACACCAGAGGTGATGAGAAGCTGCTGCTGCTGATGGTGTGTGGGCTGCAGAGGATGCAGACCCCAGGTGAAAGGAGCAGGAGGCAGGAGCAGCCCTGCACAGGAGCAGGAGCCATGGGACACAGGAACTGTGAGTGAATACACACCCAAGAAAAGACAGGATGGGCTCAGAAGAGACTCCTGGAAACAACAGCCAGAATCTTACTCAGGCTGTCCCCAAGCTGTAGGTCTCCCTGGAGCACACACAGGGCTGCACCCTCACATGCTTGCCCTGTCACTCTTGGGCCCTGTTTTCTGGCCAATTAACAAGTTTAATTATGACACCCATGCAGTTCCTGGCTGATGAGGTTTAGACATTTCTAATCCCATTGATACGGTGCCCAATGAAGCAGATCTGGAAAAAGACAAAAAACCCTTCCCTCTTACTGCTGGGTCTAATCAATGTGTTGACCTTGGCCATGCTGGTGCCATGAAGCTTCAAGGCAGCTGCTGCACCCATCTTCTTCATGGCTGATTCAGCAGCAAGAAGGAATGAGCTGAAGGCTCAGAGACAGGGCCTGCTTCAGGGTAGGCAAGGAACTTCCACGGGGGCCTGGAGTCTCCTCCAGGTGGGAAACACCTGATCTTCTCAGGGCTGCAGATACTTGGACAGGTGACCCTTCAGTCAAACCCACTTACATCTTTTATCTACAAGCTGGGCTCTCACACACAAAATGAATGTTTGCTCTTAGCTGCTCTGTGAGGTTTCTTTTGTTGTTTGTCGTTTCTTTTTTGTTGTTTCTGTGGCTTGATATGAACTGCTGAGGCACAGAATCCCAGAATGGTTTGGGTGGGAAGGGACCTTAAAGCCCATCCAGTGCCACCACACCTCCCAGTGTCCCAGGCTGCTCCCAGCCCTGTCCAGCCTGGCCTTGGGCACTGCCAGGGATCCAGGGGCAGCCACAGCTGCTCTGGGCACCCCAAGCCAGGGCCTTGCCACACTCACAAGGAAGAATTCCTTCCTGACACCTAATCTAAAAATCTTCCCTCCTTTCAGACTAAGGCCATTAACTGAATTTTCCAGGCACACTCAGAAACACACCTGAACCTACAGCTCTGTCAGAAAACTCTTCTGGCACCAGCACCTGTAGACAACATCACCTGTGCTCACTGGGCACACACCACTTCATTATCTCAACCTACAAACCCTCCACACTCCCTCAGCTCCATCCCGGAGAAGACTGACCAGGAATCACCTGCACCATCACTTCCAGCTCCCACAGGGCTGAATCTCTTGGATTATTTGTGCTTCCCAGTCTGCTGCCAAAGCCATTCCCAGCACACCATGAAGTCATATTGAGGATGACAAGCAGGGTGCTGCAAACCACTCCTCAAGGCACCACAAGGAGCTGTCTGAGAACACTGTTTAGGAGTTGCTCCTCCTGCAGCCATGCTTGGCACCTGGCCTGGTCTGAAAATTTACACAATTTAACCAGAATGCAGAAATACTTACCTGGGAGCTGTGCACTACTGTGCCAGGGGTGGTTTAGATTAGATATTAGGGAAAATTTCTTTACAGGAAAAGTTGTAAAGCATTGGAATGGGCTGCTCAGAGTGGTGGTGGAATTACCATCCCTGGAAGTGTTCAAAAAACCTGTGGATGTGGCACCTGGGGACATGGTTTAGTGGTGAATGTAGAGGTGCTGGACTGATGATTGCATTTGATGATCTTAAAGGTGTTTTCCAGCATTAATAACTCCATGAGTTTATGATTTCAGACATCTGACGAAGCACCAACATCTGCCCTGGTCGCTGAGGCAAAACAGCATCCCTCCAACTGAACCCATGGCTGCTTTGCAACTCAATTCTAACACAAAGTATCTTCTGCTGTGGGAAAACTGAGCACAGAAGGGGTCTGGGTGGTTTTATTTTAGACTCTCTTATTTCTGAAATAACTGCAGTACTTCATGAATCACCAGGATATCCCAACTGTAACATCACACAGACGAGTTTTACTAAAATCTCTAGAATCCTTAGGTGGGATGTCACACCATGACACACTCCATTCTATCTTTGCCACCCAGAGCACCAGATGAATTTCATAGCAATTAAGGAGCATGCCACTTCAGGGACAATTCTTTTTTTTCCAAAGCTTCATTTATTTTCCATTTATTTCTGGGCTGAACATCACCTATCCCCACCCAGCAAGCCTAGTTCTCAGGGTAGGACCAAGCTTACCCAAATACTAATTAAGCTTCAAATCATAAGAGAGCAAAGCTGACACCCTAAACACTAAAACCAGCCTAGAACAAGTGTGGTTTGTTCTAAAAATGAGAGAAAAGGGGGGGAAATCTGAAGGGGGAACTGCCAGTAACGTGAGCACTTAGGAGAAAAGCAATAGCTGGAAACTGTTTGGAGTGAGGCTCCCTTTGCCAAGCACCACTTCCAGGTGCACCAAGGAACCTCACCCACACAATTAAAGTTGGTTCCATCTCTGAGCTCTTCCCTGGGAGGCCCTTCCCGGGGTAGGAGGAAGAGGGTGGCACACATGGATTCACTGGAGCTCCCCCAAGGAACCAGCTGAATGTCAATCAGCCACATCAGATCTGCATCATCCAGGTGGAGGCGATTCCCAGCGCCTCTGAGCTGCAAATTCTTAAATGGCAGCTCAGCCTTAAGCGTTATTCAGGCCCAGGTGTCATTCTCAACACAGCTCCTCATGGTAGTGGATTAACCCCCAAAACACAGGGCTTCAGAAAAGAGTCAATAAAGGTAATTTTAAAATTGAAATGTTCCAGCTGAAATGTGGGGTCTCAAATCATTGTTCCTTCATTTCCATCCCCAAAGCTCCCACAGATTTTGGCGATCCCTGTCAGCAGGGATCAGACAGATGAGGGAGACTATTCCTCCCCTCCTCTGCTTCCCACCAAACCAAGGGTTACTTCCAAGCGAGACCCAGGGATGTGGGGTTTTCCATGCTGTGTCTGTCCCAGTCACGCCATCCCTCTGGGTAAAACATTCTCACCCAAACCCTGGACACATCCCAGGATGGTGACCCTGAGGAGAGGCACAACACTGACCCAAGGCTGGGAGAGATCTGGGGCAGCACTGACTGACCACAGTGGGGGTGCTGTGCTCAGGACATGTCCCTGAGCAGGGGGTGAAATGTGGGGTGCAGTTATGTGACCCCTTTTTCTCTCCTCACAGGGGAGGTGCAGCAGCCCAAACCCTGCACTCCTGTACCCCACACGATGGCACATCACCATCCGAGGCTGCAGGAGAACCCACGGCACTCCCAGGGCCAGCTCTGAGGGCAGTTTGGGGATGAGGGGCCATCCCTGATGGAGACCAAAGGGATCATCCCTGAAGAGGATGAAGGGCCATCCCTGAGGAACTGTTCTGAGAATAAGGAGACATTCCCTGAGGAGCAGTTCTGGGGGATAAGGGGACAGTTCCCTGAGGAGAAACACGAGGGAGCAAAGGGAGCAATCACCGAGAAGCAGTTTTGGGGGATGAGGGAGTGATTCCCTGAGGAATAACATAGAGGGGTGAGGAAAGCAATCTCTGATGGGAAGTGAGGGGGATAAGGATGCAGTGCCCCGAGGGAATATGTGAGCTACTCCCTCAGGGAATAAGGGGGGGGAGGAAAACGGAGCCATCCTCGAAGGGCAGTTTGCGGGTTGATCCCTGACAGGAGGAGGAGGAGCGATGCCTGAGGGGCACTTTTGTCAAATAAACGGGCGATTCCCTTTATCAGTGTGGGGAGAGTGAGGGGATGCCCCCAGGCCCACCGGGCCGGCCCCCACGACCCTCCCGAGGCCCGGGACCCGCGGCCACCCCGCAGGGCCATGGGGATGGCTGGCTGCCCCCTCACCCCTCATCCCCCATCCCTCCCGCATTCCCGGCTCCCCACGCGTGGGATCCCCGCGCCCCCCGCCCCACCTGTGCGCCGGGATGCGCTGGGAGCCGCGGCCCTTCCCCACCAGGAAGTGCACGTCGCTGAGCACCTCGTTGTTGAAGAGGAACGCGAACCGCTCCTGCACCGTCGGCTTCGTCGCCTGCCAGTTGTACACCGGCTCCCGCTGCAGCGCCCCGCCAGGACCGCCCGCCCCGCCGGCTGCCCCCGCC